CCTCTACATCCTCATCCATTGAGTCACATTGTTATATCATTATTATCATCATGATATCATGATAAATATAAACATTCAGTTGATGTGAATTGATTTTCATACCAAGTGAACATTGTTAACTAACTGCTTTTCCTTACATTGAAATGAAAATCTTACAATAATCAAAAATCATCATCACAAATTGAATTATCATCATGAAAGGTATATTCATATATGAATGGAGGGACAGAATAAAAAAAAAAGTTCTGATGAAAATCAATTCTAATCATGAGATGGAAACTTTTTTCATTACTTTTTGACTTAATGGTTGATAAATGACATTTACTTTTATCCTTTGTTGTTGTTGTTTTCTTACAGCATTGACACAATTAAGTGAATTGTTATCAAATGATTAATTAACTGATGATAAGATGAAACTTAGATTATTGGTTAATTCATGATGAATGAATTTAATGATAATTTGATTGTTGATGATGTTGAAAAACCACATTGATAAGATTACAAACTGGATGAGGATGATCACTAATTCAACATTAACATTTTCCTAATCGATTTGATTAAGTTCATCAGACTAGAAGATGATGAAGATAAAAAATTGTAACGATTGTGATAGTTGAGATGAAAAAAGTTCTGAATCAGTTGAATGAATAGTTTTCTGTTTATTTTTATCAATTCCAATCATCATGTTGACTTGTAATTCATTTACATGATCATCTTTCAGAATCAAATTATCATTGTTTATCTGTTACTTTATATAATATCATGATCATGAATACATTTCATTTCTGTGGGATTATTTTTTTTTTACCAATCACAAAATTCATTCAGCTTAATATCCATGATGATGAATCTATTCAAATGAACAGTTATCTGAATAGTTTCATGATTAATGGTGGGAAAAATTGTTCAGCAATAAGATTATGATTTAAGATGATTTATCTTCCATTAATTTTGGTTTAGTTTTTTTCTTTCTTTTTTCTTCTTGTTCAAACTCTAATGAAGGTGATGAGTATCAATCAAAATTACCATCATTATCACTGAATTAATGAACAAGGTGAAAGTGTTTCCATGAGGCCGAGATACTTAAAATTGGAAACCCGGAAGTTGAGCTAATCCTGAAATCTTAAAATCAGAATGAAAGTATTGAGAAAATGTTATCAATCTGATTGAAAGTGTTATTTTTTTTCCTCTCTCGCTGATAATTAATTGCTCGTTGGTTCAATCAACTGGGAGTGAAAATAATTCAATAGTAAATAGTAAGAGCATGAAGATTAAATTGAAAAGTTTATCAGAATTTTTTTCTCCATATCAACTACTCATAAATGCTGCCTGAAGGATGAAGATAATGGCGGAGCTCATGAAGATGCTCATCATCATGGTAATGATCCTAGTAAAGGAGTTGTGAGAAATGCAGGGAATCAGAATTAGTTACAATGTTATCATGAAAACAACATGAAATTGATTCAGACATTGAAACGGCTCATAGAATCGCTTCAATGGATTTTATTGATTCTGAACATTTAAAAAGAAACTTGTTTTCTGGTGAAATTTTTATTTCCGGGTAACTTAAAGTAGCATCTAAATGATGGGATGAGGAGGAAACAAGGGAAACAAAAAGTTCTGAGCTTCATTTAACGATAAAATCATCTGAAAGTAACATTATCATGATGGTATTAAAGACTATTGTTATTGTTTGTCGAGTCAACATCAGACTCGAGCTTTTATTTACCGTGTTAACGAAGATATAACTCTTGAGATTATCTCTGTTTCTTTTGTCCATTTCCAATAACATTTTCCTCATCTTCTTTATCATCATTTACCTTGATATTTACTTTAAAAATCCCATTTCTACCTTAATCTTCATCTAACCTTTCATCATCATCTCTATCACCTTTTACATTTGATAATGTACATATTGTATAATATAAAAGACTTGATTGTTGATGATTAATCAAACTGATTACTGTTTATATTGTAAATCGTAATTGTTTACTTGTCTATGGGCAGTTAGTGGACACATTCATAGGATTGACCATTCAAATTTGGGTTTTGAGTGATTAACTTGCAACTTTTTTTCCGGGTTTTCTGATAATTGTTTTACTTTGTTCAACTTTAATCTGAGTTGAATGTTTAATTGTTAATCATCATCATCATCATGATTGTCAAGTGATTCTTATCACGTTTGATTGAATTGCTCTTGAAAATGTATCAAAATAAAATTGATTGACCATTCAATTGGTTGGTGAAAATATGAAACAATAGTTAATGAAAACGGAAGCGAAATAAAAAAAAATATAAAGTTTCAGGATTTCAATTAAATGATCAGGATAATCAATAAATCACCAACAATTTATCAAATTGCACATTGACTCTTGATGATGTCCAAATGCTAATCATTGATTATTATTAGTAGATGATTAAATTTCCTCGCCAAGTCACTGCAATCTAATGTTAACAATTTAATGATTAGCCTTAGAGAGACCATCAGATAATCAATCAATTGTTGTGTGGTCCATAAATATTAATCAATTTAGTAACAATGTATTTAATGATTAACTTTTAATCATAACAGTTTGGTGAACATGATAAATTGGATATCATTTGATTAATAGTTTTCTTGAAATCCTAATTTCAGCTTAACAATTAACAAGCTCTTTAAATCATTAAAATGACCATAAAAAAGGATGGACATTGACGAATACGTGATTTAGATAAACAATTTATATCGTTTCTAAAGATAACCAGTGGTCATCATTGAATTTTTTTGATGATGAGACAAAACTGATGAAGAAATGGTCAAGATAAAGATGAGATTGAGTCACGAATAAAAAAACTGACCATTTCCCATTGGAATGTCATCCAAGGGAAGAGAGAGAGAGAGAGAGAAATCATCTTTATCATCTTTATCTTAGCATTATCATCATCGAAAGAGATGAAGACGAGCATAGAAAGAGTAATATCTTCATATCTCTCTCTCTCACTCTGGTCACCATCATTGTTGAATAAGGAGATTAAGCTGACCAAAGCATTTATGACTCTCATATAAGTCACTGGTCAGTCACTTTCTTGACCCCCTGGAGACTCATTTGTAAACCTTTTCATAATTTCAATATTTTCTTGTCCACCTCCATTAACCATCATTGTTATTATTGACCATTAACGAGTAATATTAACATTCCTGATGATTAACTATTATCATCCACCATCTTTAACTGACCATCTCCTTTTCATCATCTTAAACCTTCAAAAAAAATCATAAACATAATAATAAAAACAAACTCATTAAGATGATCACATTGATTATTAAATGAAAATAATAATTTTCGTGTAATGATAACAATCAACAAGCCGAAAACATCAACAATTTAACAATGATGATATTTACTGATTACAAATGAAAATTATACAACAAGTGAAATGATTTGTTGATTGTGATTGTTTCTCATACACCCTAACAATTTATATTTATCATATTAATTAAACTGATTAGACAAAATGTTGTTATTTGATTAGTTGCTGAAACTTTTTCAGTTGTTTCTTATTATCTGTTATCATGATAAATTCCGATAACAAATAAATCAAGAGTTGCCTGATTTTTTTGTTGATCATCATTTGTCACTTTAATTAAATCCACTTTCCTCTCTCTCACTCACTCTTTGTCATCATCATCATCATCATCTTCCTCCTCTATTTGATTAACTGTAGTTTTTTTTGCTTGCTTGCTTTCAATTCAGTCTCAATTCAGCATTTCTGTTCAGACGATTCTGATGAAATAAAAAGCGATACCCAAAAGAAAGCTTTATAGATATTGCCTCTCTCATCTTCATCTTCATCTTCATCTCCATCTCCATCTTCATCTTTCATCATCCATGTGAGAGTGAAAATTATCTCTCTCTCAATTTTTTTTCTCTCTCTCCACCCACAGTTTCCTTTTCGTTGGCTTTCAGGGTGGAAAAAGTTCTGGATTTTATCATGTTGCTTATTTTTGCTCTTCCAGTTCCTGCTTACCATTGATATTGTTTTTTTTCTGCTCGTTTGTCTCTTGTGTTTGTAATATTATTATTCTGATAACTGTTGTTGTTATCATATTGTATTACTCGTTGTCTTTTCAAATCAGAATCGGAATAATCTCAATTGTTGTTATTTATGATGGATAATCATCTGATCCAGTTCAATTTCACCTCACAATTGAATCTATTATTTGAAATAAGAGTGAAAAAAATATGATTCAAGTTGTACAGTAGCTGGATATTGATTAATTGGTCATCACTATCGTTGAACATGAATTAAATTGTTCAATAAATTGTCTCTATTATTATTTACAAGGCTCATGATCAGATAAACAACAGAATTCGTTATCATGATAAGGTCACGTTTAGAATTTTTCTTTTTTCTTGGTCGAGTTTTTTTTTCTCTTCCTCTATTTTCCTTTGCTGAACTTTTCTTTCCTTCTTTCGATCTCTTTCTTTCTCTCTCTCTTATTCAAGTAAAATATTCATCCAGGTTCATGGAGATGGATTCACTGAATTTTCATCTTCATAAAGGAAAAGAAGACAAAAAGTTATATATATATGTTCAAAATCCATTCCAATGTAAAATAGATGAACGAGAAAACAATTTCATGGTAGTTTAAATTGAATTGAACAATTGTAAGAATTGATCAAGGCAGAGAAAGCAAAGAAGAAGAAGAAAGAAAAAAAGTTCTGAGTAAACTGTAAATGCCACAAAGAATCAAGAGAAATATACAAACACATCGGATCCATTTATCTATCACATACACTGATTATTTTACTTTGACCACGGTGAAAACAACGATAATGATGATACCATTGAGAAAATTGAGAATCATAATGATAGAGAAACAGATAGAAATCAACAAAATTGATTAACTAAATTGTAACGAAAATTATATCAAAAGGTTGACCATTAAAAGGATCTTGTTGTTGTTGTTGTTGTTGTTGTTGGTAGAAAGTAATTGTTACCGAGATGATGGTTTAGAAGAAAAAAAGAGAACAAAATAAAAAAAAGATTCTTAGGTTAACGATTAACTGGACTAAACCTTATTAACCATTAATCATTTTCTAATAAGCTTAATTGTTGAGGGGAAAGTTAATTGTTGACACAAATTGAAATTGACTTTTTCTTTCACCAGTAAATGGAAAAGCATAAAGAGCATAAAAAGGGCGTCGCTTATGTTGATAGAAAAATTAATTTTCTTTAAGAAAAAAATTTTCTTTTCTTTATTTTTTTAATTCTTTGAATTTGGATTAAGTTAATTGTTTGGTATTTTCTTTGGTGATTTCATGGAGTTTGGAAATTTTTAATTATCTCATGTTGCAATTGGTTAATCTTTCTAAATGTAAGTTAATTTATGTTTCACTTTCTATTCTAGTGCTTTGGTTAACCCTTTTAGTGTTTTTCATTTTGATGTTTACCTTATGTAATAAGCTAAACGTTGATATTTTTTGTTCATCTAATTAATTTTTAATTATAATTACTGTTACTTTTTGTTATCTTTTTCTTTAGAATAATAATTCTGTCATGATTATGGTGGTTTCCATTGACGGTGGTTGGAAAAATACTTTTAATGGGATATCGGCAATAGAATTACTTGTTTTTCTTTGTGTTGGAAAATGAGTTTTTCTATATGTACCAACGGCTCCTTTTTGTTATAATCCTAATTGAATCTTTTTAATTATCTACATTAATGCTAATTTCCATGTTACTATTAATATATTTCTCTCCTAGTCACTTAATCTTTGTAAGATAAATGAATAGAGACAAAGAGAGAGAATAGTTTTCAAGTAATAACGAGGTAATTATCAAAGTGATTTATACATTGTATTAATATTCTGATTTTCTTTTGTTTTCCTTGTCATTTAGGCCTCAAACTGTATGATCCATGTGGTGATTTCATGGGGCGACACAGATGAATTGATCTGTTAATTGTATTGTATTTGATTAATGGAATGATGAAATTACAATCTACTTACCTGGGTAATATTTAACTGTTATATCACTACTATCAACGTTGATACAGTTTCTTGTCATATTGATACTTTTGCTGTTGGTTAATCCGGTAATCACAAAGATGGAGAAAGTAAGAGAGGATAAATTGTAAAATGCCGGCTAATTGTGTGGATTAACAGTTAAAAATGGACACTGATGATATTCAATCAAATGGGAAGAATTGATTTGAGCAATTCAACTTTTGTGAGAAAAAAACTATTGGACCAAATATGAAATTTGAATCTGATTTTTTTTCAAATTAGATGATTGCGGTGAAAGGGATAACTTATGGACAATTCCAGTTTCATAAAGTTACCGTAATTCATTAATTCTGAATTAAGAGTAACAATTTAAAGTACTGTGACTATTAACTGAGACGAAAAGTTAACTTCTTGGTTAGTATACAAAAACAGTTTAAGACAATCAAGTCAAGTCTAATTGTTGATTTCGTTTTAGATGTTTTAGATTCACTTCAGAGCACAATTCATTCAACATGTTTAAATTCAGCTTTTAATTAACAGTCTCACTGACAATTTAACTAAGGATGGAATCGTGATCATTGAATTAATCTGTTAACTGTTGGATTTCATCATGAAATGATTCGAGTATAAGAATAGACAAAGTTTCACTCAACACAGAACTCGAGGGAGAACTTTTTTTGAGCAAACTCGATGATTCGAATCTCAAATATACTCATAAATAATACGAATTGGAAATACAATCTAACAATCTAATTGAAGAGTGTAATTAGTAAGATCATAAATGTATTTGATTTAAGTTCCGAATGGTTTAAGATCAAATCTCATTCTGATTAACTGATTAATCTTCAATTCAGAAAAGTTTCTATACCCCAGTAGTCCTTTAGAACTATTTAATTGATCAACATTCGTCATTTAATCAGTTTCGTTAATTTAATCTTCTCGCAGAATAAGATAATTCAGATAATTAGATGAGAATTTTAATAATTTTATTGTTTTTGTTGTGATTTTCACATTTACTTGTTTTTTTTAAATAATTTTTTAATCATCTGTTGATTTGTTTACTTATTGGTGTTTTCTTTTTCTGATAATTTAGTTTTCTCTTTCAGTATTAAATTAAATTGTCAATGTAAACTTGCCTTTTAATTAAGGTGTGAATGTTATACTTAAGCAGCTTCTTTTATCCAATTACAGCCCATATTGTAATTTAGTTTGATTGTTGAGTTTTGGTTTGCTTGCTTTTCACTTTCCATTGATGGTATAATAGTAATAATTATTGTTTTTTTTTTGTATTTACAATTAATATTAATCCATTGAGATATGAAAAGGATTAGATGAAAAAAATGTTCGATTGCGCTTATTAACAACACCTCCTTGCGTAATTACAATTTATCTCGTTTTCTCCTCAATGATTAACTTACACTTGAATATGGCTTTTCCTTGTTGTTTTAGTTTCTTTAATTGTTACTATTATTTTTAATTGCTGGTGAATAAATAGATTTGATTAATTATTTTCCATTCCAATCGTTAATTTGATATCTTTTTCTGACTTCTTCCTACTCTCTTTGCCTAAGTTTCTGTGGTGAAAATCACTTGGAGTGTTGTGATAGACAATCAGAAAATATCAGGTTTTCATTTAGTTAATTGTCCATCGGATTTTCATATCCATTGAAATAATTTTTTTCGTGTGTGATAATGAAGATTTATATATGATGATACACGGTAAAGTAAATTCTTGAGAATCAGCTGATTATGATGGTTGATGGCTGATTAGTTAACGAAGAGGTTATTTCGTTAATTAAATTTTTTTAATTGTTGTGGATTAGTTTTATTAGCGTACTTGGTTTTTTTTGTAGCTTCTGTTGATGAATGATAATGAATTTGATGATGATGATGATGAAAAATTATCTCTTTTTCAATAGCAATAAACAAATATTATTGTTAATTACTTAGAAATCAATAATGATTTGTATCAATAATATTGGCAATGATATGGTAATCAGTCAATCTTTACAGTGGAATAAATTTTCCTCACAAAAGCTGAAGTTCCAATATAACCAAAGGTACCTGAAAGTTAATAGAAAGAAAATAACAATAATATTTATAATTAGCATTCAATAAAAAGACAATTAATTAATTGCACATTGGAAAGTAATTTCAGATCAATCAGGATAGTAGTTATAAAAAGTCTTCTGGCCCCTTTTCTTTCTTTTCTCTCTTTTTTAAACGAGAATTTCTATTTAGTTAAAGGTCACGACTACGTGTCAGAGGTTTTCAAATAATTACTTTCTATATAAGAAATTTAAATAATTATATTAATATTCAAATTAAGTATAATGTTCAATATGGATTATAAAACATTATCGACTGAACCGGAAGTGGTTAATGTTGTGATCTCATATTCTTGATAAAAGTTGAATCCAAGTGATTATGGTGAATATGACCCATGTAAATTTTCCGGAATAGTACTAAGAGATGATAAATCATGTCTTCTAATATATCATTCAACAAAAATCAATATAACAGGAGTAAAGTCACTTCTTGAAGCGGAACAGATAATACATCGGAACTTACCGGATATCAATATTATTTCATCAAGAATTGTAAACATCACAGCTACAGCTTCAATACTACCGGAAATTGACTTCAAGGGTGTGTATAATAACGAGAACTTTTCATGGGAGCCTGAACTATTTCCTGGTATTATATACCGGAAACGGAAACATGTTGCAACTCTCTTCCGTTCTAGGAAAGTTAACCTAACTGGTTTCAAAGCAGTTGAAGAGATAGCTCCCTTTTTCAACGAGTTTCTCAAGAGTTTACCACTAGTATAAAAGGAGTAAAAACTAGAACAGATTGATTAAAATGTATTCTTGTAACAAGTGTAATAGACTATCCAAGAGAAAATATTGTTATAATTGTTCTACTAAATACAAGTGTGATGAGTGTAAGCGAACATTCTTCATTAAATCAAACTACGATGAACACATAGTCCAATGTCAGTCTAAGGAAATTTTTGGTCTAGCTGACTTTGATCCCTTTGTTTTGGTGATTAGTGCTTTCAAACAATTTTTGGTTATCTATAAACGAAATAATCTAACATATGATGACCTGGATGAATTATTCAATGATCATCGTAGCACAATTGAAAACCTTTTTTTCTACATTAATGAGAAACTAAAATGTTTCAAATTTCAAATCTGTGTATTCATTCATTTCGTGAAACCAAATGATGGAAATTCAACAACGTCTTATATTTGTTCATCTATGAAAACTATAACAACTCCATGGAATTCAATGGATAATTTAAATGAGTGTCAAGTTGAAATAAGTGCAACAATTGATTCATTTACAAATAAAGGAAGTGGATGGACTATAGATAAAATATCTACAGTTGAAGTTCGAGTTGCTAAATATCAACCTGATTCTGGTGGTTGTTATAAACAAAAATTACCAGATTGGATTCATAACAAAAAAGCCCTAATCTCACCAAACTGTGAAAGAAATTGTTTCATCTACAGCGTATTGATTGGGCTATACCCACAAGTGAAAAACGCACAAAAAGTCAGCAAATATAAAAAGTATATTGACAAGTACTATGATTTCAAAGGTGTTGTGAAAATTTCTGAGATTCCAAAATTCGAAAAAATACATGAAATTTCAATCAACATCTATTCATTAAACTATGATGAAAAGTTTATAATACCACTTCAACTATCGAAATTCCAATACAACAAAATTATCAACTTATTTCTTCATGAAGAACATTACTACTACATCAAAAGCTTTGACCGTTTAATCAATACAAAGGCTGGGAAATCATTAAAGCGATGTCACAAGTGTCTTCAAGGTTTTTCAAACATTGATAAGTTTTATCACATCAACAAACGTGTCAATCCAAACAACTGGTTCTCCTCCCACAACCCAATACAAAAATAGGGTTTATAAAGTTTAAGGCTTTGGAAAAGTATCCGTTTATTGTTTACGCTGACTTTGAAACATTAGCTAAAACAATAGACAACGACATTATCTCCAATACTTTTGAATATCAAAAGCACATACCATCTAGCTTCGGATTCGTCTGTGTTAATTGGATTGGGGAAATCATTTACTCAAAATTTTATCGAGGAATCAATACAGCAGCAGTGTTTTTTGATGAGCTAAATCGTTTACCATTTCTAGTTCAACAAATCTTTTCAAACAATGTTAAGCCATTGGTTACAACTATTGAACAAGATATTCAAATCCAAAATGAACCATATTGTTGGATATGTAAACAAAGGTTTGAACCTAATCAAAAAAAAGTAAGAGACCATAATCATCTATCCGGACAATTGAGAGGAGCTGCTCATTCTTGGTGTAACCTCGAAATTCATTGGGATGGTAAAATACCAGTCGTTTTTCACAATCTTAAAAACTTTGATGGACACATTTTAGTTCAAGCAATGAATAGAAACAATGTTTCAAAAGTTTCAGTTATACCCAATACAATGGAAAAATATTCAGCCATCTATACCAGAAGCTTCATTTTCATCGATTCATATGCGTTTTTAGCTTCAAGTCTCGATTCATTAGCTTCTAATCTTGACGAACAAACAAAAGTGAGATTCTTATCACAAATGTTCCCAAGTGATAAGATAAATAATCTAATGAAAAAAGGAGCATTACCATACGAGTACATTGATGATTGGTCCAAGTTTGACGATACTGAATTACCACCAATTGATAAGTTTCATTCATCATTAACAAATTCAACAATAAGTGATGAAATCTATCTACGATTACAATCAATTTGGAATGAATTCAGCTGTAAAAATCTTGGTGAATTTCAAGATATTTATCTCAAAGTAGACGTTATCCTTCTCGCCGCTATCTTTGAAAGCTTTAGAGATAGTTGTTTAAAAGAATTTCAATTAGATCCAGCTCATTACATTTCAATTCCGAGTTTATCATGGGATTCAGCCTTACGGATGACTAACGCTGGATTGGAATTACTTAGTGATATTGATATGATCACAATGATTGAAAATGGTATACGTGGTGGTATTTCCTGTGCAATGACTCATCATGTTAAGGCTAATAATCCATTGGTCCCTGGTTATCGACCAGAGGAACCTCATTCTTACATCACATACCTCGATGTGAATAATCTTTATGGGTGGGCGTTGGCTCGTAAACTACCAACATACAACTTTAAATGGGTCGAAGATTTCGATGAGATGATCATCAAGATTAAAAATGGTGATGAAGATAAAGGATATATATTAGAGGTTGATCTTGAATACCCAACTCATCTACACGATTGGCATGATGATTATCCATTAGCTGTTGAGAAGTTGACCATCCACGAAGATAAGTTGAGTCCTCATCAAACTCATATTTTACAACTAATGGGTGAAATTGGTCAAAAGAGTGGCCACAGAGAAACTCATACCAAACTTGATGGATAAGAAAAAATATATTATATACTACAAAAACTTGAAATACTATCTGGAAAAAGGATTAATTCTAACCAAAGTTCATCGAGCTATTGAATTTATTGAAACAGCTTGGTTGGAGCCTTATATTATGATGTGTACAAATAAACGTCAACAAGCCAAGAACTCATTCGAAAAAGATTTATATAAATTGATGGTAAACTCTTTATATGGTAAGAGTATAGAAGACAAGAGGAAACATTCAAAAGTTGAGATACCAATGTCAAGGAAAAAAATACAAAAACTAACAAAAAACCCATTATTTGACCAATTCATGATTCTTGATGAAAATAAAGCTATTTGTAAGCTAAGAAATAATTCTGTTGTATTGGATAAACCAATCCATTTTGGCTTCACCGTTCTTGAGTACGCAAAGCTCAAAATGTATCAGCTTCATTATGATACGTTCAAATCTTACTATGGAAACAAGATAAAACTAATCTACACTGATACCGATTCATTCATCTACCATATTCAAACAAACAACTTCACTCATGATTTAATCAACTTTAAGGATATTATGGACTTTTGTGATTACCCGAAAAATCATCCTCTTCAGTCAGATTGTCATAAAAAGATGCTTGGTTACCTCAAGGATGAGATGAATGGAAAACCAATACACGAAGTAATAGCCATTAAACCTAAGATGTACTTGATTAAAAGTGATGAAGGTGAAAAAAAGACTGCCAAGGGGGTTCAACGAGTAGTGTTGAAACAACAAATCAAATATAACCATTTCTTTTCATGTTTATATGATTACACTACTTATCGTCATACAATGCATCGACTTCAAAGTAAGGAGCATCAAATCTATGCTGTGTCGACTGAAAAGGTTAGCTTATCACCTTTGGATGATAAACGGTGGGCTATCAACCCAATTGAAACATACGCGTATGGAAATTATAAAATAAATATGGAGACTTTGATTTAAATTTAAAAAACTTTTATTAAAATAATGTAATGTTCTCAGAACTCTTTACAAAAATATATTTTAAAATAAGAAGAAAATATGTAATTAAAATTATTAATAAAATACAAATTATTTCACAAATACTTGAACAATTTGTCATCATTATTACATTCATAAAACTTTTCAAAAAATGATTGATAGTTAGGCGTGAATTTGAGAAATACGATACAATAGTAACCACATCTAACTGAAAGATCACCTTGTAGTTTCTTTATATTATATTTCCAACCAAATTTGGAATTCCTCTCCATAAAAGTGATAATTGAGGCTGGTGGGTAACGACCATAAGAATCAAAATAATAGGCTGGTCCATTGACAGGGAAATATATTACAACCCAGTGACTACCAGGCTTCCAGCTTTCATCAAGATTTACAATAAATGATCTTGGTTTAGCTATCAATGTTAGTGGTAAATGATCGATAGGAAAAACACCTCCAAAGTAAATATTCTTCTTCATATATTTGTGAATATCCCAATTTGTTAAAGCCATTACCAATCAATAGATACGTTTCTGTATTTATCAATTTCTATCAAGTTATCAAATTGAGCAAAAACAATCATATGAATTGGTGAAGGGGTAGCTTCTTTGAATTTTACTTCAATCTTTATATTCCCTCTT